AATAAGCCAGTCAGAGAAAGATAAATATCACATGATCTCACTCATTTGTTAATTATAGAGAACAACTTAGACTGAGGAAAAGGGACAGACCCAAAGACTGAGAAACAGCGATCAGGTTATCAATCCCCAGAAGGGAAGTAGGGGAGGGCGAGGGTAAGGGGAAGAGATCAACCGAAGGACTTGTATACATGTATATAAGCCAAACCAATGGACATGGACAACAGCGGGATGGGAGCATGAGTGTGTGTGCGGGGGGAGGTTGAGGGTTAATGGGGGGTGGGGGGGATAAGGACACATTTGTAACACCTTAACTAATAATAATAATAAAAAAATATTTCCACTGTGAGATTCTGTCAAAAACCACAGGACTAATTAGTATATTCTGCATATTAATATGCTGCATACAAATTACATAAATAAAACATACTTTACATATAAAGTACATTATTTCTTATAATTCTCAGTATAGCTTAATTTATTATTCCTATTTTATCAAAATTATTATAACTCATTCAAGATCAAACAAAAAGTCAGTGGTAAAGTCAGGAGGATTCAAACCCAGGTATGTCTAACACACACACACACACACACACACACACACACACACACATGCCTTTCCTACAAACTCAATCCCCAAACACTATATTTGGTTGTTAAACAAGTAAGACTGGAATAGAAAAGGTTCTTTTAAATATTTACAAAAAATACAATCATTTTGAAAATGACTAAGATCAACCTGATTAAGCCCTGGCCGGCTTGGCTCAGTGGATAGAGCGTCAGCCTATGGACTGAAGGGTGCCTGGTTGGAGGCAAGAACATGTAACCTCGGTTGCAGGCTCGATCCCTGGTCCTGGTGCGGGAGACAACCAACTGATGTGTTCTGTGTGTCTTTCCCCCTCACTTTCACTCTCCCTATAAATCAATGGAAAATATCCTTACGTGAGGATTAACAAAAAAGAAAACACTAAAATACTAATAGGATACAGAATGGTGACAGAAAAGAATATAGACAGCAATGGTTAGCTGAAGGAAAAGACTGGGAATGCCAAGATATAAAAGTTACTGGATTTTTCAATAGCATTATTTTTAACTTTTGTTTTTTCTTGATCATAACAGATTCCTGGATAACCCAGACTCAGAACCAGACACCGGTTTAAACTTAACCTAAACCATAACTGCAGTCTTGTGAAAGTTCAAAAATCTTTCTCTGACCTGTCCTAGGGCAACTTTCCTTACATTTCTCTCTGCTTCCATACAACTGAATTCTCAAAAACTGCACTCCTGCCCCACCTCAGGCTAGACCCCAAACCTAATTGCACCACCAGTTCCTCCTCCTCAATCCACCGACTCCCCCCCCCCCGCCACACACACACACAGACTCCCAACTCAATTTTATTAGAGAAAACTTTTAAGATTTTGGTGACAGAAGACTCATGTTACAAAGTGTGCATTCTGCCATTTGCTGGCTCTACTACCATTTAGCTCTACGTTTTTCCTTGTCCACTTTCTCTGGTCTTAAAAGTTCTCATTGTACTGCAAAGAACAGTTCCTTCTATAATCAGTTCTCCTAGGCATTTTAGGTTGTACCCCATGCACCTTCACAAATAATAATTCCTTTCTAAAAGGAATGCTGGTTAATAAAATTTTCTGCAACTGCATTTTAAAGTAGAAAATTTTAAACCACTAGGTAACTACCACCCAGACATAACAAAGGCATTATAAGTTCCATTATATTTTCAAAAGAGTGTGAAAAAAATCTACTGGAGACAATCTAAACACAAATTTTCATCAAGTATTTAATTGTTCTAGATTAAAAAACATTTGTACATAAATCTGATTCTTTAAGAAATAAGCATATGTATATTTACTGGACTCTCAGGTAGAAAAAAAGATGCCTAGATGCCTAAGATTATACAACTGAGTCAAACCTATTTCTGTGGGAGGAAGAAGAGGGGCAAGATAGGAAAAAAACTCCCTAGGCCTTGAAATGAACCTTTTCCAAAGAGACCTAATAATACTGCTAAACAAGTTCACAGGTTACTATATGAATTTAGCAGTTAATTTTAAATAAAATATATTTTCTCATCCTGTTATTTACAAAATATTTGTGAATATACATTAATGCCTAGATTATCTGCATTGAAATAATTTTTACTCTTAATTATTTTATGTCAACAAAAATAACTTATTTATTCCTAAAGTACTATGAGTAAATGAATATTGGCACTCTATGTAGTAAAGAGTTCTAAAATCAGATAATAAAGACAAATTAAACTAAATTTTTGGTATTATTTGCTTTTAAATTACTAAATATTTGGTATTATTTGCTTTTCAATATGGTAATTTGAAACTTATTATAATTTTAGCATTAACCTCTAAATATAATGGTATTTAAGCTGTCCTAGCCTATAGTAACCTAAGAAAAAATTTCCATACCAAATTATAGAAAATTTAAGAGGAAGCAAAAAAGAATAAAGTAAATGATTCATAGGCTTGTGAACAGTGTTTGGCAATGAACGGATCAAACAATACTTAATTAGTCCAACAAGACTAATTTGATAGTCTCTCCCCCTAAAATATATCTTAAGTGTCTCCTTCATTACTATAATTCCCAGACTATGACATTAAATTATAAATGCACTGAAAATCCAGAAATACATCAAAGCTTACTATGAAAATCAAATACAAATACACGCCCC